CATGCACTGAAAGCTCTCTCCTCCACATCACGAGTAGACACGCCCCTTATTGCTGACTGGCTACAAGTTTGTTTTGCGATTCGGCCCGAATCAGTTTTCTAAAGTGTTTTTGAAAAATCACTTACTCTGCCTTTAAGGACTGCCGAAGACAGCTGACTCCTAATGTTTTTAATATTCTTCATATTCTGTGTGGTGGTCAGTTCATACTGATAGAAATTAATCTTTTCCAATAAGTTTAAACTGATTTTTGCATTTTATGGGCATTTTTACCTTTATAAAGCCATTTTTTCTAAAAGTGTCCATTATCTTTTGAGTCAAATTCTTACATTTAATCAGGGAATTAGAATAATAAGACATTTGGGCTGTTACCAAGCAAATTAAATCAACACAGAAGCTGCATCTGAAGTGGCATTTAGATGTATTTACACACATGTATTTTGTTTAATGCAAGACATGAATGCATTTAACCTTCTATTACAAATGCATAAATAATGTTTTGATATATTAAACATACAACGTTGAATACTGATGTTTGAAATGATTTAAAACATGAAAAAAATCAAAAAAGAAAAGAAAGAAAAAGCCGAAATTTGAAATTAAAACCGCCAGTAGGTGGCAGCAAATCACTGTTAATAAGTGAGTCATTGCGATTGAACCGAATCATTTAAACGGTTTATTCATTCAAGAACGAAACACTGTCATGTTGCTCAGAGACACAAAACAGCGCTGTGGCTGTATTCGGGATGATTTTTGTTGGCGAAATAGAGCAAAAACAAGCAATATGGTGTCTAAAACGTAAGTCTCTTAATTTACTTATTGTTTATTGAATTCAATGTCACATTTGTAATGGTAATTTTTGGAGAAAAACGGCACTCTTCGTGTGAAATTGAATAACTATATGAAGTGGTATAAATATATAAGTTTTCTGCCATCATGTCTTGAATTTGTGATCATTCTAAATGCATTTTAATAGACTGAATCATGCAGTGAAAGAAAACACACTAAATGCACACACATTAGTCTAGACTTCACATAATGTATGCGTGCGCTCTGTAGGGATGTTTTGAATGGTTTTTGCAAAATACTCGATAATGTCAAATCGCACATCGTTTTTTACAATTACGATATTATCGCAGACGATATATATCGCACACCCCTAGGCTAGATACAGGTACTGTTTGTTTTTTTGTCTTAAGCTACATTTTAAAAGTCTTAGTTGGATTATTCCTGGATCTTACACAATAAGAAACCTTTTCTAAAAGCACTGCTATTTTGTAACATGCCATAAAATGCTTCCTAATTATATAATAAGTTACATAACCTGAATAGCATGCGCTTTAAATATATTATTATATTTAAATAATTTTAATGCATTAAAATATTAGATTTACTATATATTAGATATTATATTTTTTAATTATATAATAATTTTATATTCAAAAATAATAAAATATAAAGATATGTGCTAAGATGCAAAATGTTAAAGTCAAAAGGCTTTGTAAACAAAGTATGATAATTAATGAAAGTACATATTATTACATTATAAATTACTAAATAATATTATATTGCAATAATACAGTCTAAAAATGCAACAACAAAAAATATAACTAAAAAAAGAAAAAATAGTTCAGGATTGTATAGAAAAATATGATACATTACTCAAAGCATATATTATTACTTTCTAGATTATATCATTATATACATTAATAATTATAATCAAGTAAAAAGTCAAAGTCATCTAGATGGATTTGGGGTATTTAATTTTACATAACCTTTTCTTGAACTTTGCTGTTTTATAACATGCTATGAACTGCTTCCAATTATATAATAAGTTATATAACATACAAGAACTCATGATCAATAATTTATTTTAATGCAACTAAATATTTTACATATAGCCTATATCATAACAATTATTTTAAATGATAAAAAATAATTTTATAAAATTATTATTAATATAAATAATATTTTTAATTATATAAGAACAATTATATACAGTATATATATATATATAAGTAAAATAAAATATTTTGCTTTAATGAAAGAATATATTACTACATTGACAAAATAGTATATTATCTATACCGATACAGGCTTAAGTAAAATGTAAAATCTAGCTAAATATTTGTGCCATTAATACAACCTTTCCATAAACATTGCTGTTTTATAACATTTAGCCTATCATGCAATGTATGCTTATTATATAATAAGTTATATAATACTGTATGTGTAGCCTATCATGCGTACAAAACATGTCACATTACATATACTATTTTATATTTATGCAATGATTTGATATAATACTTAAAACATCCAAATGTATGAATACTATAAAGATACATGCCAAACGACTAGAAAAAAAAAGATGAAAGTAAGGAAGCAAGGCTGTTCAAGATTGTTCAAGACAGTCTTGTCTCGAACTTCCTTGTGTAAATCATCTGTCTGGATTATTCCAGGCATTTACACAACACGCCACCTCGGTGTATTTACTTTTATGCAACCCCGAGTGATTATGAAACACTTCAGTGACATTCAGCTCCCCGGACCGTATGAAGAGCGGAACCTTCAGACGGAGTCCGTGCGCCTCGGGGGGCGTTTGAGGTCGGTGCTCCTGCACAATTGATAGATAAAATAAAAGAATCCGTGAGTATTACAAAATTTAATAGTAATAATTTAATGTATCGCAGCACAGCCGGGAGATCCTACCAAGGGTGTAAAAAGGTAAGACGCTGGTTTACCGCCACACACGCCTGTTTAAGCGGCGATAATGCGTTTTATTAGTTATATGAGCACAGTTAGCGCGGAAGCTAACGTCAACAAAAGAGAGCATCGCCGCCCGTGCTAACGCGCTAACAGCTAGCGCGCTCGGTAGGCTTCAAATAATGATGCGTTTTATACACCACGCATATAAGACAGTACAAAACAAATGGATATGCGTATCTAAAGAGGTTTCGCGGATGTTAGGTGAGTTTTCCGGCCGGTTGTTCGTCTTTTAGTAGCGCCGCTGGTCACCAAGTACAGTTATGTAAAGGTGCCTCATTCAGTTCAGTCCACAGAAGCGCTTTAAAACACTTTTATGTGATGTGTGACGCCGAAATAGGATAATATACTTCTGGTGTGGGGACATATGTGGATTTGTGTTTTTGTAGGACGACAGCGAGTTTGTGGCGAGCGCAGCTGCAGAATAATCTACCTGAGCTTCAGTTTCATTTCACACACTATCTGTCTTATAATGGAAAAGATGCGCTTTATTGAAGTTTAACGTGTTTCTGTTGTTGTTTTCTATGTAAATCACAATGTAATACTCGAGGTCAGCCGGTTTATAATGGTTTGTGTGGAACTGTATTTCAATACATATACATATACAGGCAAACACGTATACATATACTTTGATTGAAAGTCATTGATTTCTACTGTTTTTGTTGGAACAGCTGCAAAAACCTTAAAGTAATAGTTCACCCTAAAATGACAGATCTGTCATCATTTACTGTCCCTTCATGTCATTTCCAAACCTTATTACTGTCTTCTGTCAAATATATAATATTTATATTGATATTTTTGTCATATATAATATTTTTTCTTGTACATATTTTGTATATGTGTGTAACAATAATTATATTTTTTTATATATTTAATTATATAATTAAAATACAATTATATACATATTAAATTACATATATGTGAGCAAAATTATATATATGTGTATAAATGTATAAAAAAAATGTGTATAAATATAAATATTTTTACATATAATTATAATATTTTATTATGAAGTTATGTATATATTATGACACTTATACAGAAAATACATCATAAAAATAGTCTGCTATGACTTAAGTGTGTGTGTATGTATATATAAAATATGTAAAAATTTTGGTAATTTTTACACACGCGCGCACACGCACACATATATAATTGCTTAATAGTGCTATATATGTCATGAATCAAACATATACAGAAACGCATTATAAATATAGTCTGTATGACTTGGAGACTGAAGGCTTGAGTCATGCAGGCCCTTTTTATGACTCTTTCGTGGTGTTTTTTTTGTCATTTTTGGTGCTTGACATCAACCTCATTCACTTTCATTGTACAGACAAAATTATCCAGAACAACGACATAATTCCTTTCTTTTGTGTTTCCCGGAGACTGAAAAATGATACGGTTTATTTAGACAGCCGGAGATCTCGCTTAAAGTTTCCGCCTGTCCAAAATAAATAAGCGGACACGGGCGCTGGATGAGGCAGGTGCGGTGTGAAGGTGCGGGACGGAGAGGATGAGTGTGTTTTGGAACAGGCTGTGCTGTACTGTGTGAATGTGTCAGTGTGTCACGGCTGCAAGCGTGGCCTACATTCACAACGCTCACTGCTTTCTCTTATATAACCCGCACTTATGTAAGAAGCCTGAATCTCTCGCTCCCTGTCCTCCCTCTTCTGTTTTTTTCTTCTTCTAGTTCTTTCTGTTTCTTCTCTTGAACATTTTTTTGATTGGAGTTCTTTAGTGGCTCTTTGTTCTCCTGTTGTTGTATTGTTGCTCTGATGCTTGATTACAGCTGAAAGTGAATTACACCACGCTGAATTCTGTCTTCAGAAACTTTTGTTTTTGCTCTTAGCTGAAAAGTAAACATAGTAACCACTATGTTTTTTTTTTAGTGACCAGTATGTTTTTTTTGGCTAATACTGATATAAATTCACAAGTTTGGGGCCAGTTCTGTGTTGCCACTGAAGTATTTGCATACATTGATCTTGTATGTCCATTTTTAATGTATATTCATATATATATATATATATATTATTTTTTTTGTTTTCTGATGTATTATACATTTTTGTAAAAAATTTTGTAGCTTGCTAACACCAGATTTTCAGATTGTCAAATGTTCATAAATTAAACTATGATAGTCTTGAAAGCAACATGTCATCATTTTCCAGCAAAAGCATGAATTTTTGGAATCACCTTATAGCTGTAAAATTTCTAGCTTGTTGCATATTCTCTTTTTCTGTAAAGAAAATAGTAATAAATGATAATTGTAGTGAACAAAATTATGTTGTAAAGAAAACAGAATAGTTAATAAAACATAAATATATATAGCAAATATAAGACTTTGCAAAAAAATTAAATTTAACATTGTTTTGTGCCCCACTAAATGCAACATTTTACTCTAGTACAATTAATATTTTCTTTAAATTAATTCAGAAAAAAAATTGGAATTGTAAGTTACTGTTTTATTTATTTTTATTAATTGGCAGTTCATATGTTTTGAAAAATATACACAACAGAAAGATAACAGTTCTGTTATCAGATGGCGACAATATCAAAATGTTAAAAAAAAAATTTTTTTTAAAGAAGTCTCTTATGTTTGCCGAGGCTGTTTATTTGATCAAAAATACAGTAAAAACATTAAATGAAATAGTATTACAAATCAAAATGACTGTTTTCTATTTTAATGCATTTCAAAATTATGTTTATTGATGTGCTGCAAAGCTGAATTTTCAGCATCATTACTCCAGTCTTCAGTGTCACATGATCCTTCAGAAATCATTCTAATATGCTGATTTGCTTCTCAAGAAACATTTCTTACTATTATCAATGTTAAAACGGTTGTGTTTTGCTTCATATTTTTGTGGAAATTGTGATGCACTTTTTTCAGGATTCTTAGATGAATAGAAAGTTCAAAAGAGCTGCATTTATTTGAAATATAAATATTTTGTAATGTTACAAATGTCTTTACTGTCACCTTTGATCGACTTAATGCATCCTTGCTGAATAAAAATATAAATGTTTCTCCCAAAAAATCTTACCAACCCCAAACGTTTTTTCCACTGTGTTTGTTCTTCAGGTGGTCTGAATGAAGATGTGTAAGTAATGCTCTTGGAGACCCAGGGGACACCATGTCAGAAGAGGCGATCTCAGGGAGTGACCTGGAGCCCAGCCTTAACAGCGAGGAGGAAGAGGAGATGGAGGAGGAAGAGGATGGAGAGAACGATGGGGATGATGAGGAAGACATGGGCGGTGGGCACATTTTTTTAGTTCATACCGTCTTTTCTAACCATTATCTTTCTCATCTAACACCTGTTTGAGTTTGAAGATGCATTGATTAAGTATGGCCCTATGATTTTGGCGATGTGGAAAACGTGGATGGAATTGTGGAATCCAGTCATAAAAACGGAATTTACTGTAAAACGCAGAATGTCACGGAATTTGTCAAAGTTTGGATGAATTATCTACTGAAGTATTCTTCAGTAGAATGTATGTACTGTACTACTACTACTTCGATTAAAATGATTAAAACATTATTTTTTTAAGGAATAATCACACAATATTTTTTTCCATGTTTTAATTTGAATAGTAAATCCCCTTTGTTTGCCCAAAAAATTTAGTTTGTTGAATTTATTAAAGCTTAGGTCCGTAAATTTTTTTTGTTTAAAAATGATCGAAAATCAATTTTTGAGCAAGTACATAACCAATCAGTGTTCAAAACTATCTGCTTACCTTAGCACGATTCACACCTGTAAGCTTGTAATAACGTGTTCTAGTCTGAGTGATACTGGTAGGTTTCCGCAGGAAATACGAGCTTGCCGCCGTTCGTCTTTGCGTCATTACATCACGTCTGTATACATAAAGGAGGAGTCGCAGCTAGTATATATCACATGTGTGGATGCTGCAGGTGGCAGATCACTTATTATTGAATCCAGAAAGGTCCAAACGATTTATTTCTATGAAATTCGAATGGTATGACAATTAGAGATTAGACTGTACAGAAATTGAAATCTACAGATAACGCTAATACACACTAAATACACGTAGTCACGCAATGCTGGTGTTGTTAACATTAAAAATTTGAGAACAAAGTATAACAAAAATAATTTGCACGGTTTGACGTGATCTGTGCTAATTTTGCGAGATATAATCAGCATTGGTAGCGCGATTTATTGTAATGCTTTTTTTTTTCTCAGTTGGTGAGAGCAAATTATATTTGCATCATACTTCTAAGATGTAGAATCTGTGATTCCGATGTACAGTATCCACACCGGTGCAGTTACTGACAGAAGAGCCGTGCCGATGCACAACCCACGTAAAGATTTTCTTTTGAAAAAAATTTTTTTTTTTATTGTTTTTTTTTTTTTTTTTTTTTTTTCTCAGTTGTTCAGAACAAAAGTGGCAGACATGTTACTTACTTGTTCGGATGAAAAATTCTTCCGGTGAAAATTCTTATTTGGTTCATACTTCCAAGACGTAGTATCTGTAATTGAGAAGTACAGTGAATATCCACACTGGTGCCACACCTACACCTCAAAACATTAGATTCATCCGTGCTGAGGAGCCGTGCCGATGCACAACACAGAATTTCTGAGGAGAAAAAAAAACTATTCATAAGGCTATTGTAAGAATAAATAGTTTTTATGCATTCAAATAATTAGACATGCTAAAACACAGATTTGGTAACAATAAAGCATAAGGTGATAATTAAAGTTGATTAATTAGACATGCTTGTTGATTGCTAAAATGTAATTTAACCATTAAAAAGGAGTCCAGAAAAATGAAAACGGAAAAAAGACGGAATTTGGAAAAAAATAAATAAAGCTGATTTCATAGGGCCCTAATTAAGGCATGTTTATATGAAGTTAAAAGCATCAGGCTTCTGTCTGGCATCACCGCTAATGTGTGCGCTTAGCTTTCAGTCTGTGAATCAATTATTGATTGCTTGGTATTTCCTCTCAACAGACCAGCTTGAGAGCCTGGAGGCCAAGGATCAAAGAGATCTGACCAGCCCGGCACCTACCTCACCGATGTCTGGAGACTCCAGCCCTGAGCCCTCATCCCGACCCTCGTCCACCTCACGGACGTCATCACGGCCCGGCTCTCAACCCCCATCCAGCCCAGACAGCCGCAGCAACGCGTCTGCCAACAGCAACACCAAGAAGTCGTCGTCCAAAACCTCTAAACCTGCTCACTTGAGGAGGAACATCCGGTATTCAGCTTGATTTAATGATTATGCATTAGTTCCTGCCCACTTTTTTTTAGCGGCGTCGAATCCAGAAGTATTATTTTTTTCCTTCATTTTTCAAAAAGTTTTCGTTAAATCATTATAAGCCATGCTGCAAAGTGAATCACAACATTACAAACTTTGATTTGAAGCAATAAAGTAATAAAGCAATAAAAACAAAAAATAAAAGTACAAGACTGTGGACTTGACGGCTTTAATGAGTGAAAAAACTACAATCCCATGAAGCATTGTGAATCATGTAATTGAATGAAAAACTGGTGAAATATAAAACATTCATTTAAAGTTGTTGAATATATCTGTAGAAACCAAATAGTTTTAGATCAGACACTACAGACAAAAGCATTGTGTTTTTGGATTATTTGGCTTTTCATAACATGTTGTTTCAAACTAGTGTAAAGAAGATATTCAAGATACGCTTTTGAGTGTTTATTTTATTGCAGTTTATCTATTTGAGTCTGTAGATTTCAGTTACAATACATAAAATCCAAAGGTGTTTAAAAAAAAAAAAAAAAAACTTTTTCCCTCCACTCCAGTAGCACTTACACCAAAACTCATATGTCATTTGCTTGGGTTTTATACAATACTTTACTCCTAAAAACATGGTTAAAATGTATATTATAGCTGTTGACAGTATTTTGTGATTTATGGAGTGATAGAGATATCCAAAATCCCCTCAGTAAAAACCTTTGTCAGTAAAATTAAACATCTATTTTGAACCTAGCTTTGTCCAACATTCTGGAAAAAATGATGCAAATGAGTGCAAATTTAATTACATATAGCTTAATTTGTGTATTTAAACAACATTTAAGAAAATCTGTAATACAAAAAATGCTTGCGATTCTCAATATAATAAATTAACTATTTTTACAGCATAGCATCGCTCTCTGATTGGTGGAATTTTCTGTATAGCATAATGGCCTTTCGCACCGCTTTAGTTCCAGAACTAAAGGTACAGTACTAAAGTACGGGGACGATTTTGCGCGAACTATTTCCCAGTACTATTTAAAGGGTTGCATTAGTTCCACAATTAGTTCTGGTACTATGAAAAGGTTCCCGCGGTGCGAAAGGCCCTATAATGGGTAATGTAGTTTTTCACCACATATTCAGCTGGTAAACATGATTATTTTAATTTAGTCGAAATATTGCAAATAGATGGCTTCAAAAGCATTAAAGGGGTCATATGACATTGCTAAAAAGAAACATTATGTTGTGTATTTGGTGTAATGGCTGCACACATCTGAATATTTGGGTTGAACTGTTCTGGAACAGTGTTGTAAATACAACTTAACCACTGATTTCTAGTTGTGTCCTCTTTTGGAAGGCACAAAGTAGTTTCGCTTTCACAATGAAACACACAGCATCCCCACAACATGGCGGCGGCAGCAACAATACTACAGCGAGAATCAAATTTACGCCTTCTTTCTTTGCGTGAACATTTGGGCGGCATTATGCAAATCTTCCCACACAGTGATGTAGACATGTGGGGGCGTGTTTAATCAGAATCAGAACAGGACAAACTAACAAAAACATAAAAACAACTGCGGAGCACGCCACGGAGGCAGCCATCAGCGTCGGCGCCATCTTACTAATCGAGGCGTTTTAGGATGGCGTGGACGAGTCTTAACTTTTATAAAGAATATCTTTTTGGGTTTGAGACTTTTGTCTTTGCAACTTTAGGGATCTTATCAATTCACGAACAGCTTGTAACACTCCAAAGAGAAAGGAAAATTTCAAATTGCATCATATGACCCCTTTAACAACCTCATAACTCACAACAGGTCTGTCTATAAAGGTTTATAAGTTATTGTTAAAAATTAAAGGTCACATATTTTACACCTTTCTGGAGTTTTATTTTAAGTCTTGATGTTCCTAAGAATATATATTTGCGGTATAAGTACCAAAAACCATCTCAATATATTTTTACAGCTCCTCTCTCAGGAGCTCTGCTGAGAACAGGTCGATTTTGGCCTGTCTAATTAATATTCATGAGCCTCTCTTCTGATTGGCCTGTTGTTTTCTGAGTGACACACGGCCAGGACAACTATAGGTAACTAGGGTCAGCCGACGTCACAGCGCTAGCTGGAGGCAGCAAAACAAAGGGGAAACTGGAGGCGGCCCATTCAAACCAGCGCAGATTCGGCTACATAAGGAGCTTAAAATATCATCTTGTTGTGATGTTGGGTGCCAGAATCAACGTAATACAGCCTCAAATTAGAAATTTGATCGCATATCTGCTGCCACTGCCAGACAAAAAACCGACGACAGCTGTGGTTAAACGCAATAAAACGAGCGGACTGGACAGAAACGATCGTCAAAAATGCTCGCGTTTGCAGCGCACACTTCTTATCAGAAAAGGTTCAATAAAGTATTCTTTTGTTGTTATGGGCGCGTCTACAGATTTCTTGCCATATGTCTATGTTTCTTGCATCTCACGACTATGTCATGTATGAAATAATGTCTGTGTGCATGTGTGCAAAACAACAAACTGACGATTTATATATAATCATTTGTAATTGTATATACATTGTTGTGATTAATTGTGGCTGGAACAATAATGTAGCTGTAAAAATAGTTGCCTGCTGAAATTGAAATGTATATACATCTTCATCATGACTAGATAGACACGGTGAGTTTGTCTTTACTATACATGTTAGATGTAATCCACCTCATAGTTACAATCCTGTCAGATCGGCCATCCTTTGAGTGAGAGTGTAACGTTACAGGTCGGCCGATCTGGTTTCGTGGTTAAAGTTAACCTTTTCACATGTTTCCGTGTTGTTGTTGCTCAGCAATGGCATGAACGCGATGTTGTCTGGGGGTTTGGCAAAAGGAGAGTGGGACGGTGGGCGGTGCTCGGGGTGGTGACTGAAGGCGGTGACTGTATAGTTCTGACGTCAACTTTTTACGGAAGTCACAACGGTTCGTGAAAAATAGCTAGAACTTTAAGCAGGCTGTGTGCATTTTACTGTGGACTGACTGTTTTGAAACTTACAGTATATGGTAGTTAAATAGACCCTAGACCTCAGTTATCGTGAAAAAAGACAGGAAATTTCAGTTTTGACAATATAGGACCTTTAAATAAATGCAGACTTGTTGAGCATCTTATAACCCCAAACTTTTGAACAGGATATAGGGTCTATATAAGGCCTATATGCCAAAGTTAAGCGTCTGAAGCCAAGACTAGTTAAAACAGGCTCAAAGTCTCTATACTAAAAAATGCACACATCACCTATATATTTTCACAGTAATTATCCAGCCACCCAGCGAGCAAGTTCATAACGAGTAAACCAGAAGTGCAGTGCGTAAGACTGTGAATGTATCTGACAGAAAGGAGGTGAGCATCTTTCTGTGATGTCCTGCACTGTGAAGGGTTTTTTTCTTCATGTGAGTTACAGCTTAAAGACCACCTCTGCTACTTGAGGATTAAAAATATTGAAATTTCCGTATGAATTTCATTCCATCTCTTTCAAACGGCTGTGGACAGCTCTAATGAGGTTTTCTCTCTTGTGCTGTCTTTCTCTCACACACACACACACACACAGCTGTCACATTAACATACCTTTCACCCTCCTAAACGTTACATCAAACAAATGACATGAAAGACCTCTCTGTGGACTGAAATTGCCTGACAACAAGTTTTAGTAAGGGGCAGGCAATAAGAGAGCCCTTATAAAATATTATTTTCTATAACTGCCCATTTATATCTTGAGTGTCAAAACATGACACATCTATCACCTTGATTTGGATGAGAGGAAAGATACGCTTTAATCTTAAAGTGCTGTTTTCATGGTATGCATTTTAAAGCTGTTATTTTTGTACCTGGATAATTCGACAAGCTGAAGACAGAACATGCACTGACAGATTAAAAACCCTCCAAAATGTCTCAAACTACACTATTTTATCTCCTACGCTGGATTGAAATAAAATAGATTCAACCCAGTCCAAATGGAATACAGTAGAACAAAATATTCATGTACGGTCCCGAAAACCTTTAGAGCCCTGAAAATCGGAAAACTACAAATCATTGTGTCATCTTTTTCCAGCACACTTTCCTTTAAAACAGATTTTAATAAACCACATGCTTCACTAAACCCATAGACATTCCACATTCATTTTATCTTTTATATCCGTACTATTTTGTTTAGCAGAGAAATCTTCATTTATAACATCTATGCTGTGTGCATGTGTTTTGAGACTATGGAAAGACTATGCAAAGGAAGGTGTTTTGTGTCAGTGATTTGAATTTCATGATTCTATTATACACTTCTCTGGCAGTTTTGCCTGTGTGTGTGAGGGAAAGATTGTGTGCATGTGCATGTGTGGACCTAAAAGATAAATCTGTGCGCAAGTAAATTATCTTGCCTTCACCACACGTTGCCTCATATTACGTTTTCTTCATTTTTGGCTTGATTCTCATCTGTTCTTTGTCTAGATGTTGCAGTGTATTTGAGGGTATGAAATGTAAAAACGTATAGTGTGATTTTAATAGTGGCTGTATGCTGTAACCGGAACAAGGTCAGGAAATTAGTCTAATGTGTTGCAGAATCAATGATTATTTGTGTTTGCATAACAGTAATGCATAATGCAATTACATTACCTGTAATAGTGTGATGTAAACAGAAATGTGTTAGTATGGCTTTCTCAAAAATAATTTTTTTCACTTTTGTTTAAACAAAACTTTTTTAAGTATTTGGGCTTCAAGTATAAAAATACAAGTTGTTATTATATTTGAAAACAAAATATTCACATTATAAAGATATAGAAAAACCTGACAGAACACAATCGATAAAGTTGAGAGCCTGGACATCATTTGCAGTGCTTAATCGGAGTGTGTGAGATTCCCGTTTCCATAGTAACAACAACTCTGGGGTGTGTTTCCCAAAAGCATCGTTAGCTAACTATATGGCCGCAAGTTACATTGAACTCTATTGGTAACGACGGAACTTGCGATCATATAGTTGCTTTTAGAAAATGCACCCCTGAATGGTAGACCTTGCTCCAGGATTGTGACTAGTGAAATACTTTGAATTTCAGTATTGTTAATTATTTAGAGGTAAATAAGGTTCAAGGAACATTAGTCATGCGATTACCATAATGATGATTATTATTTATATATTTTTTAGATTATTTAGATGATTTTTTTTTACATTATTATCATAATGTGGCATAATTTTTTTTGTAAACAATTTGTTGTCACAAAATGAATCTACGATGATTTCACTGTAAAATTCTAAATACAGTATTTTATTTAGAGAAATTACTGTTAATTTTTGTTAAATTCTAACATTTTTACAGTGTTTCTATGCTTCAATCTGGGCTCAAAAAAATTTATTCTTATTCAACATATGGCTTAAAAACTGCATTCTCAGTCAGGTGAGAGAGAGAGAGAGAGAGAGAGAGAGAGAGAGA